GGGGGAGGGGGGGAGATATCCTCATTAATTTTTATCTTGGAAACTACTATTTTCAAATTTAAAACTTTGTATAGTATTTATATAACTAAATATATTTTAAATACATAAATCTACATCTTTTACTTGAAACATGAATGTGTCCCTTTCCGTATCCCTAGGAGCCTTACTGACGCTGTTCATTAGTTAATTTTCCTCCTCAGTCCTCATGATGGAACAGGAAGTACCTGACGAGGTGCATGTTGGCCTCTGGTGGTAGACGTGAGCTATGGATTTGAAGGTTTTCGTCAGCCATTGCCGGTCTTGGGACAGAGGATTGCCCTCCTGGAGATGTAGATATGAGGCTGCCAACTCCAGGTACAAGAGCATCTTGTCCTCGGGGCTGCGGCTTGGCATTGTCGTAGCCTGAACATGTTGTCTGAACTCAGGGGGTGGGGGCAGGGGCAGTCACCTCGCATTTGGGGGCAGGGTTGGTCTCTGTCGGAGACTCATACTACGTGCCCTCTTGGGCAGAGACATTCCCCTCTTGGGTCACCTCCCTCTCCTTACCCTCTAGGGCAGGTTCGGTCCCTGCCTGAGGCTCCTCGTTCTCCGTTCCCTCGATGGCAGGAACAGTCATCTCTATCTCTTTGCCTTCGACGGCAGGGTCGATTCCATTCTGGGCCTCTTTCTCCATTCCCTCGGGGACAGGGTTGTTCACACCTGGGGTGTCCTCCGGCTCCTTCTCGGATACCCTATCTCACATCTGAATCACTCTTCCCAGAGATTCCAGGAAGAGTGACTCAGGGTCATCGAGGCCAATGTACTCGGGGATTTTCAGCATATCTACATATTTGAAGGTAGCGTCTTTCCCAACCTAGGGGGAGAACCCTCAGGTGTGACTTTGACCACTGCACTCCTGATGCAGGGTATTGCTTGATCCTGTGTTGGATGGCGGGCTATCAAGTGACACTTTAGATGGTGCGGCCTGCTCTCCACATAGGTGTATTGACAACCAGCAACGGGAAACTTCCTTTTACTGTCGTGTTTGTCCTTCCTGTGTTGCTTTAACGCCTTTACTGTCATATAGCACATTCTACAGTCCATACAGGGGACATTTGAATTCATACTGTAGATATATAAATATTCTCTACCATCAGTATACAGAGATGTAGTGGTTTACATTGGTTTCGTTATAACAATCCCCCTTTCATATTTTTTGTTTTTGAATATGGGACTTGAATTATTCACAACTTTTAAACAAATTTCTGTATTTAATTCTTCAAGTTGTCAATTGCTCTTCATTCTCGGAGGTCTAGGATGCAGGATCGACGTCTAACAAAATCATCTTGATGACGGATGTCGCGTGGTCCTTATGGTGATATTTGAGTCCTCTGCATGCTCAGCTGTGTGGCCACATCAATGTAAGCAGTACTTCAGGATGACGATCTGGAGTCTTCAGATATGCCAAAACGTGACTACATTGGATCACAACCAGCCCATTACCCTAGGAGTAGCAGTCATGCCGACAACAGGCTGGGCTTGTTTACGTGTCCGCTCACTTCTTGGAAAGCATCCCCCTATAATATTTAACAAGAGGCCCAATGGGCCTGCATCGCTCACCTGGTATAAAACTCACACTTGTAACCTTAAAAGTGATCTAAAATAAAGCTACAGGCAAAATATCAGTATTTATGATTGAAATTCGTTCAAAAGTCCCTGTTATTTTTTTAAAAAACATTTCACCCCTGTTATTGAAAGTCGAACACAGCCATTATGTTGAACACATTGTATAGCCTTTCATCTCAGGATTCAACTTGCAAAGTATAAACATCCTGGGACCCATGGTTATTCATAAGAGGTTGTTTAAAGATTTTAAACAAATTTGACCCCTGTGACCTTGACAATAGATGAAGGTCATTTATTTGAATAAACTTGGTAGCCCTTCATCCCAGTTTGCTTCTGGCCAAATATCATCACCCTAGGCCTTTCGGTTATTAAGAAGAAGACGTTTAAAGTAAAATATTGACGCCGGACGACGGACGCCGCACCACGGCCTAAGCGCACTTGGCACTTCGTGCCAGGT